AAGGAAAATGCATCATTGGAATGGAATAAACAAACCGTTATTGATTTATTGCAACATAAATTCTCTCCCATTTCTTCTTCATCGTAAACATTCAAGCCTTCCTCTTTCTCATTAACAAATTATTTAAACGGAGTTACTTCCTCTTTTCTCTTTCACATTCAACCTTCTTCCTCTTTCACATTCAACCTTCTTCTTCCTCATTAACAAATTATTTAAACAGAACTAAGTTTTTCTATGAATTTAAGGTTATTATCTTAAACTTATAAATTTATGGTTATGAATGTGAAGTTATTACGTCTTATATATTATGATTTTTAGCATGTTATGTAATTATACATTAAAATATATTTTTCCACGAGTAGTAGGAATTTACGATCCATGCTACGATCCTCAAGTTATGTTTTTTGAATCCTCTACCGATTCTGTGTAAACTCTCTAGTTTTTAAACATTGCTTCCAAGCTTGTTTCTTAAGAGCTTCTTGATGATCATCTTGTTGGTGATTTTAGTAGTAATGTGATTTACTAAAGGCCGATGCAATTATGCGTTAAGTTTGGAAACGAGTTAGGGAAGTGCGGAGTGCACGCTCGTCGAGCCAATATATAATTGAATATGAATAATTGAAATGGGGTCGTTGGAGTCCAAGGGGCGGAGCCCCTGGGTCAGCGGGCGGGGTGCGGGGCAGCGCCCCGTTCAAAAATTTTGAATCCTTTTCCCCAACCGACATAACCGTTTTCGGAACAGGTGTCTTTTCGGTTTCAGTTATTGATCTCCTATATAAGGAGTCATTTGGCCTCGGTTTCAAATACGAAAAAACGACACTTTCTCTCTATATTTGTAATCAGTTTCTTTTGCCAGAAACAGATTGTTCTTCGAGAATTATCCCCACAAAGATTTCGTGAACCCAGGCAAGAATAGGGTCGAAATACTTTATTCGGAAAGTGTACGAACACGATTCTTCGAAGTTATCCAGGATTATCATACCCAAATATCTTACACATCTGGCTCAGAATCTGCAATCATTGCAAGATGCATTATTTCTCCATCAGTACCTAATTCATTATTAGGAACTTGCACATAATCAGCTAGACTCCTAGGAAGTTGACTTGTTCTTTGTGGTCTGATTTGTGTCGGAGCAGGTTCTTCCTTATTAGCATCTTCAATCTCTTCCATGTCCTTAGTGCCAACTTCCTTCACATCACAATTTTTAGATTGAACATGCAATAAGGTAACATCATTGTCTTTGGCATTCTAGTTCCAAACCTACTTCCCCATGGCTACCACATCTCCGCTGATGGCTACTTGATTTTTATAAGGATCAAATAAATAACCTATAGGATCCTATGCTGTGATAGCCTACAAGGATCATTGGGTTGCTCTTGCCCTCCAGTTTCCTTCTTTTGGCATTAAGAACATGCTTGTAGCACAAGGAACCAAAAATCTTTAGTTGATTGGCACTAGGCTTCCTTTCTGACCAAGCTTCATCAGGAACTTTGTTCATTAATCACTTTGTGGGACATCTATTTAAGATATAAGCAGCAATGGATCCAACACCACCCCAAAGTTCATGTGGTAGATTTTTCTACTTCAACATGCATCTTGCCATGTTGAGAATACTTATGTTTCTTCTTTCGACCAAGCCATTATGTTGAGGAGAGTTGGTGTCGTGACTTGTGAAAAAAAATCAAACTCCTTTTATGCGTACTCTCCTCCACCATCTATTCTCAAGATTTTATCAGCTTGCCACTTTGTCTCTCCACCATTGCTTTGAAATCTTTGAAAATCTGCAAGGCTTTACTTTTGGCTTTGATTAAAAAAAGCCACAACATTCTTGAGAACTCATCCACAAAGGTGATGAAATACTTGTTCCCACCATAGCTAGGTACTTCTAGTGGTCTACAAATATCTGAGTGAACAACACCAAATGCTTCTTCAGCTTTCATAGGCAGAATGGATTTGAAAGCTAGTCTAGGGACTCCAATCACCATCCCTTTTGAACTCAGTTGGCTTAGGCTTTTGTAGTTCAAATGGCCATATCTCTTGTGCCATAACTCATCCTCCTGTTCATGAGTTGTTGCAGCAAGGCATCTTAATTCAGAGTTTTTGATGCATACCTTGAAGGTTATATTTCTTGACAAGCAAGATTTCAAGACAAGTATATTTTTGTGATCAAAGAGCTTCAAACAATCATTCTCCATAGGTAATGAAAATCCCTTTTGCACCATTTGCCCTACACTTAGCAAACTGCATTGCATATTATGGTACAAGCTACATTCTTGATCACAACTGCCTCACCATCCTTCCTTTGATTCGTTACATGTCTCATTCCTTCCTCCATAATGGATTTTTTATCAACCAATTTGATGTTTGTCTTCTTGCATTAAAATCAATTAACAAGTCCTCCTTCTAATCATAAGATTGCTGCAACCAGTGTCAAGATACCAAATTTGGGAATTTGACATCTCAACATCAATTGCAACCATGACCATAATTGGATCTAAGTCTGAGCCTGAATTTTCTTGAGAAATCTTGGCTTCTTCTTCACCATCTTTCGGCCTCATCCCTTTGCCAAACCAACACTCATCTGCATAGTGTCTCATCTTCTCACAATTGTAGCATTTAACCTTCTTATCAAAGGTTTTCTTCTTATTTTGAAACTTGATTGGCATTCCCTCATTCTTGCTTGATGTTTCAAATGTGTGTTTACCATTCTTGGACTTACCTCCTTTGTTCTTCTTCCACTTTCATTTGCTTGCTTCTAGTTTCTTGAATCTTACAAGAAGTGCTTGTTCATCATGTTTTCCAATTTCTCTTTTAGCTATCTTTATCTCATGGGCTTCAAGCGTATTTTGCAAATCTTCAATTTTCATGCTATCCAAGTCTTTAGTCTTTTTGATGGTCACCACTATGTGATCATAGAAGGGAGACAATGTTCTCAACCCTTTCTCAATTATCTTCGCCTCATTGAGAGATTCACCACATTACTTCATCTAATTTGTCAAGGTTAGCTATCTTGAGATATAGTCACTTATCTTCTCATGCTCCTTCATCATCAACGGTTCGAGTTGCCTCCTCACTGCTTGTAGCTTGACTTTATTGACTTTAGCATCACCAATAAAATGTCTTTCAAGCTTGTCCCATGCTGCTTTGGAACTAGTTTCACTAGCAATTTTCTCAAACACCTTCTAGGCAACTGTAAGTGTTTGTTTGTTGGCATTATTTTTTGGTAAAATCAGACTTGCGAATGTCATGACTGATGTCATAACATTCTGGGATAAAGGTAGATTCTGCAGAAGGAATGTTCTACAGGAACTACTCAGTATGAGTGAATATCATGATGATTAAGCTATGATCATAAGTACTGAATTCTACCAAAATCAGTGAGCAAGATACATGATGTCATAACCAATGTTAAGACATCCTGTACTGATCAAGTTGTTGTGCAGATTTATTATTCCTGAGAATTTTCAGGAATCTGGTGTGCTACTCTGAGTTGAAGAATATTGTCCAGATCAGATGCTCACGTGGACATTAGGTTAACCTTGCTTAACCCTAATTTGTTATGATGAAAGCCCAAGACCAAGTCTTTAGGTTAACTTTAGTTAACCCTAGCTATTTTTATGGAAGCCCTAAATGAAGAATAGTCTGCTTATATATTTCTCACGAAGCCTAATGGTGAGCAGCGCTTTTGATAGAAGATCAATAAGGCATTGTATAGTTGTAACTACTGTGAGCCAAGCAATTATCAGTTTGATAAGTGACTTGGATTAGGATTTGTTTGTAAGGGTTGTTTATCACTCAAAGCTTTGAAGCACGAGTGTTGTGTCTCTTGATTAAAGCTTTGAAGCAAAATCAAGCGTTTGTATTGAAGAATGTCTTCATAATCTTATTAATCAGTAGATTAGTATCACTGTTGTGATTGAGGGGGAGTGAGTAGGAACTCAGATTTAAGTAGGACTTAGATTGAAGTTGTATTGGGTAGGTCTTAAGTGAAGGAGATAAACTGGTTGGTTTATTCCTAAATTAATACCTCTTATAGTGAATTTTCTCCCTGGCTTGGTAGCCCCCAGAGTAGGTGTTGTTACACACTGAACTGGGTTAACAATTGATTGTGTTCTTTACTGTATTTTAAATTATTGTTTGGAGTGTGTACAAGTTTGTCAGATACGGTGTCATAACATTCACTGTGACATTAAGTATCTGTTGCCAGAATTCCAGCAACACTTTAATGAATGAGAAATAAAGCATTGCAATCTCTTTTCTTGTCTTCCTTTAAGCTTTTCTCTGTGTTGTAGTTGCATCTTCAGATAGAGCTTTAAGTCATGTTTCCACCATATCACTAACACCTTGTGCACCAAAAATCACCTTCATTTGAGTCATCCGTTTGTCTCAATTCTTGCCATCAAGAACATGTAGGCGTGCTGCAAAATTTCTGTGACCCACCATGAAATTATAAGAGATGAAATTATTAATAATATCTAGATGGATCCAAGGGAAAGCTCTCTAGACAATGACAACGGTAATCCTGAACTGCAAAAGTGTAGAGACAATGATTACAACTTATTGGCTTGTGGGTCTTCCTCAACCGACATTCCTAATACCTTATACCCTCTTCAGATGGGAAGAAGAGATAATGTGTTTGTTGTCTGATATATTATAACCATAACCTATATATAAGTTGATGATCAATTAGGATTCTCATTATTCTGAAATGAGATATCATAAAATTCAATCATATTTTAGCCTATATCCATTAGTTAATTAACTAATAAATAGAGATCCAATTAGACTCTTTAATTTAATTAAATTAATTAATTAATTAAGAGTTTTAATTTGATAAATAATTAATATATTTGTTCACATAATAATTGTTAGAATATAATAATTAAATATTATTTAAATATAAAATATTCTAACAGTCTAAAAAAATCAATATTCAATTTCCTTCTCTATATTGGTATCTGTTTGGATGTTATGTTTATTAATATGTGTTTTGGAGCAGGATAAAGTGCACAAGGGAAGGGAGAATGCGGTTTACAGTTACTGGTTCTGGTATATTCAATTCAGTGCTGATAAGTAATGTGGCTGGCATAGGAGACATTGTTGGTGTGAAAGTTAAGGGTTCAAAAACTGGTTGGATTTCTATGGGTAGGAATTGGGGTCAAAATTGGCATGTAAATGCATTGCTACAAAACCAACCTCTTTCATTTGAGGTCACTAGTAGTGATGGAGTGACCATTACATCTTACAATGTAGCTCCTAAGAATTGGACCTTTGGACAAACCTTTGAAGGCAAGCAATTTGAGTCTTAGAAAAAGTATAACAAAACCTAACTTGTTTCAAAGGACCATTCTCCTTCCACTAGTTACCTTAAGTTAGGACTATCAAACACAATTTTATTTATCAGTTTTTGTTCTGCTGAACATTTGCCCTATTTTTGGAATTTGAGAAAATAAATTGAAGTTCCATGAATATTAGTAGCTATAAGGTATTGTTGATATGCAGAAGTTTAGGTTAGAATTCATCTGAGATTTTTCATCTTTTCACGTTTATATGTGAATCTAACTCATTGTATTGGTTAAAAGGTTTCTCTTATTTGGACACGAAAAACACGTTTATAGCGAAATTGTTTTAGAATAGAAATCAAATTTAATCTTAAATTTTGGTATTTTTTTAATTTTGTAAAAATATTTCTTTACCAAAATATAAAGGAAAAACACCACTATTCAACATTCATTCATTTAATATTATATTATATATTTAATTAATTAAAATAAATTTAAAGAATGAATTAATTTAAAAGGGTATACCAAATAACTCCAAATTGAAATTCATTTTGTTAGATGAAAGAGGTAGTATTGGACCTAGGTGATAAAAGGGCACGAAGATATCTTATTGTTATGGGAAATTCGTACGTCTTTTCATCATGTGTATACACTTTAGTAAATACTCTTCACATGCAATTTTAACCTTTTTTTAATGGTTTTTTACAAAATCTCTCTAGTCATTTTATAATACACTTTATCCAAGTAAATGAAAAATAAGTGTAAGTTTTGTTGATACATTTGATATTGATCTATCATGTTTCATTATAAATAGATCGCTTCTATGATCGACCTCGCAAACATAAAACTAAATTGATTGTCAATAACTTGAATCTCTTTTCGTTGTCTTCTTTCAATCACTTATTCCCATATCTTCATGCTATGAATAATAAGTTTGGGCTTAATACCCTTTTTTGGTCCTCTCTACCTCTGGATCCATTTTAATCCTTTTTTTTAAAGACCACTTTGATCATTTATCTTTTAAAAGTATGTCACGTTTGTCCTTTCTCTTAGATATATTAGTCAAAGTCAAATTTGATTGTCAAATGGTGCTAACATGGTAAGTAGATGTTGAGGTGGATGAAAAATGAAGAAAACGTTATCAACTTAACGAGTAGCCATTCTCATTTCATTTGTAACACATATCCTAACCATAGCAGAGAAAACTTGAGTGAAAGCATAATCTGGAGAAGCGTTGAAGACGAAGGCGAGAGGTTGTTCAAAAGTTGAAGACGACGAAGGCGAAAGTTTGAGTGAAAGCATAATCTAGAGAAACATTAAAGACGAAGGCCAAATCGAGATTGAGGTTTTTTACACAAGAATTTATGCCTAATGTCATGAAATTTTAAGAAAAAATCCTGGCTCAACTATTAAAGTAAATGTCTCACTTATGCAAGAATGTGTTGATAATACATGAACTTATTTTAAGAGATTATATATATGTTATGCTGCTTGCAAGGAAAGTTTCAAAATGTGTAGGCCCGTTATTTCTCTTGATGGATGCTTCTTAAAAGGTTTTTGTGGAGGTCATATTTTGGCAGCAATTGGTAGAGATCCTAATTATTAGATGCTGTCAATAACATTTGTTGTTGTGGAGGGGGAAACAAAAGATAGTTGGTCAGGGTTTTTGGAACTTCTTATTGATGATCTAGGAGGTAGGAATGAATGTCTATCTTACACATTCATTTCAGATTAACAAAAGGTATCAATGTATTGATATATTTCACATTCATTTAAGTTTGTTCATTATATATCTATGTATTTAAAGTCTATTATTTGAATTTTGTTCATTACATGGTCTTCTATCTATAATGGATGAGTTACTACCTAATATTGAACAAAGATTTTGTGTGAGGCATTTATTGTGTAGAGTCAAGGGAAAAGACATTGATGAATATGTTGGAAAAAATCAGGACTTATATCATGGAAAAGTGGGCAGCTGATAGGATGAGATTCTCATAGTTAAGTGATGAGGATATTTTATCTAATATTAAGAAGAAAGTCGAGAGAACCATCACATATACAAACTACTGGATAATAAGATAACTCTATATTATCATTTTTCATTGTTCATTATTTATTGTGAATTATGTTAATTCTTCATTACTGATTATGCATTATGTTGTAGGATGTCATCTGACTACATCTTTATGGTCAAGCATATTGAGAATCATGCGATAATTTCTCTGCCAACTTGAAGGATCTTCAATGTTCTTGCAAAAGATGGCAACTCGCAACTCTTCCTTATGTTTATGCAATATCAGCATTAAAGAGTAGAAGCCTAAGTGTTGACGACTACTGATCGGTAAAATAGCAAATGTACTATTTTGCCTTACAGTAATACGAGGGAATTTCTCCCCAGATATTGATCTCGAGGACTGCATATAGTACCGAGTTTAATGTGTGGTTCAATGAAACAAAAACTTAACATTGGTTTGGTGTTGGATTTAACCTTAACAATTATGAAAATAAACAGAATGTAAATTATGACTTTTTTTACTAGTATGAGTACTATGCTAGAGGTAAATGTGTGATTTGCCCTGTAATGACCCTGGATGTTGATCTCTTTAACCAGTCCATAACCTTCAACTACTAGATATTTAGGCTGTTTTTCCCCAAGTCCCCAGTGGGAAAACCTTTGGTCAACCATCTTAATATCTAAGTCCTTAGAAAATTACAATGCTACCAAGCTTTCAATATTATCAAGATTTCACCGATAACTATAGTCCTAGGTGATAACTAATATAGTTTAATCGTATCAAAAAATGTTTATCAATGGTTGTTCACCCTAATTGTTAATCATAGATCAATCCTAATTAGTTCGATCAGGAAAGCATTAAAAACATTGAACGATTAAATTGAAAGGAAACTACTGGATTAAAAATCAATAATTCAAAGTCATTACACTGCAAAATAGGTACACCCCCTAGCATTGAGGGGTTTAGCCACACATAATATTCAAAGAAATTACAATAAGAAAGTTAGACATTACAAGATAATTGGATTCCGTTGATCTTCAATCGCGATTGCTCTTGAAAAATATCTTCTCTTCTAATCCCTTGAAAGCTCTAATTTTTATCGTAGAATTCTTCCTAATGTAAAAAAAAGTGTTTCTATCTTCTCAAAAACAAGCCTAAATAGCCCCAATTCACTTAACAGTCGTTGCAAATACCCAAAATACTCTTCGGAGTCACATGACATAAAAATCCAAGAAAAACAGAAGTTGTAGCGTCCTGGCCAACACGAGCCGTGTCAGACAATACAATTGGCCGTGTTGGCCTACTGATCGTCTGTGTTGAACTTCTCAAGTACCAGCCTTGCTGACATGGGCACCCGTGTCATCCCCCCTGACTTCCTCTAAATCTTCTCCTTTTAATCCTTTCCTGACACTGCTCGTGTCAGGTGACACGGATTGTCGTGTCAGGTGTAACACCCCAATTCTACCCGACAATTATGAATGTAAATCAGAGTTTTAAAATTCATACAACTGAATCAGGATGCCACAAATTCAACTTAAAAACACATTCAACATGGATACATAACACTTTAAACTTCGGATGAACCAGCAGCAGAATAATTTAATCTCTTAATTCAACAACTTGAACAACTATGCAGCAGAATCATAATAACATCTTTGTCCAACAATTACAGCAACTTCAAAATAACACATACTTAGCAACAATCAAATTGAAGTTCAACAACTGAAATAATCAATAATTAAAAGCAACAAGCATTCACCCCCCAAGTGTTACGTATCAGAGCAATGACACCGACTCGAACTACCGAAGGTATACTTCCTTCACTCTGGATTACCTGCATGTTACCAACGTAAGGGTAGCATTCAAACAGAAGGGGTGAGATATCTAACAATATAATAAAAACGTATGATAAATAATATGTTAGATCATCTCATATAATAACACCACTTCACATCTCATAAACAACAATAATCGCAACAGAATACCAACAATATACACGCTTACAGCTTCTTCATGCAATCATAAAATGTGACTCAATACTATGCAAATGCATGTGGTACCATTGGAGCAGAACTCCCATCTCAAAACAATTGCCAATAAATAAAGGCATCAACAAGGCATAAGCCTTCATCTTAATATTCGCCAATACAGGCCATCTTAACGAGCATCAGCTCCATCTTGTTATGCAATGTATATGACACAATCATGAATGTAGTAACAACAACCATAATTAACAATATCTCAACACAATATCATCGTTGGCCAGAAGTCTACATCTTAATAGTTGCCAATCATTAGAGGCATCTCAACATCATTCATCAACATAATTCATCAACATAATTCCACAACATAATTCCACAACAACTCAGCCATCACAACAATACAACGACAGATCAACAATCCCTCAACATTGGCCATAGGCCTACAAGATGGTAATGCCTATAATTAATTAATCATCTAAGTCTTATCTCTAATTACCAAAACTCTACATATTACTATTCTGTAATACTACATCATTATCATCATTAATCTTACTATTATGAACCAAGCAATAATCTATAATCATCTTATCCTCATCATACTTCACAAAATCATCATAGCGATTAACGCGGGAAGCTAACTCTAATCCTAATTTGGGTACTAAGATTATTATTCTCATCCTTCATTATAATCCTTAAGAATTTAGTTCATCGCGTTAGCTATCCAACGCTTCAAACGGCACCTCAAACAGAGTCCGGAAACTCAAGTTACAGCCTTTGGAAGAATCTGTCAAAAATCAGACTGCATGAGTCGATGCATAATGTTTTGAGTCGACGCGTACTGGGTTAAAATCCCGCATGATTCGACACGTAATCTTCTTATGTCGACTCATACTGAGTCTGCAACACTGCATGTATCGATGCATACTCCTTTGTATCGACTCATCTTGAGTTTAAAAAACTGCATGTGTCTATGCATGGCCTTTGAGGTCGACTCATACTGACTTGTGATGAAAATATTATGTGATTT